AAAAAAAAAAAAAAAAAAAAAAAGAAAAGGAAAAGAAAATATGAGCCACATTGCCCTGTCCCGCAAAGGTAGAACTTAACACATCAATGTACCTGGAACACCTCATACTTGATTCTGGCCTCAACTTAGAGTCACATGAAGCACTTCATTACTACAACATGGATGCTTCCCCCAAGAACAATAAACAGAATCCATGGAAAGGGCACAAGTAAAGAGATTTCTGCAAATTGGCCATGGAATCCTAATGAGAAGCCTGGGCTGATAACCACTTAGCTACGCATTGCCTCTCAAGCCTTAATGAGCTTATAAATCACTTGGTAATTTTGACTTCATTCTATGTAATGTGATTCTGCAGGTTTGGAAAGGGTCCATGAATGGGATTTTAAACAAGTTCCCTGTCAATGCTGATGTTGCTCCCCCAGGCTCATTATTAGCATTAGAGAAAGCAGACACAGCACAGGGTCCTTTACACTCAGCACTCTTGTCACAACCAAATACTTCTAGTACAAATAAAGACAACACATCTCTGCCAGGCACGGTGGCTCATGCCTGTAATCTCAGCACTTTGGGAGGTCGAGGCAGGCGGATCACATGAGGTTGAGTTTGAGACCAGCCTGACCAACATGGAGAAACCCAGTCTCTACTAAAAATACAAAAAATTAGCCAGATGTGGTGGTGATTGCCTGTAATCCCAGCTACTCGGGAGGCTGAGGAAGGAGAATCACTTTCGCACCAAGGGGGAAACTCTGTCTCTAAATAAACAAAATAAATAAAACCCATCTCCATCCTAAAGTATCATATTCTTTGCTGGTTTATTAAAGTTTACAGAGGAAACACAAGGCAGCAATGTCTGAATAAGCCTGCATTTGGCAACAACATGTACACATGTACTAATGCAAGATACATTAAGCGGGAACTACGTACTCAAAAGGATGTTAAAAGAGCACTGTGTTGGCAATAACACATTACGTGATTTCATCATCATAACACCCTGAAAGCTGTTATTGTTTAGTAATTCTTAGGATTTAATTAAAGAGCCCAGCCTTTCTATTTTTTCTTGTTTCTCTGTCATTGATTTTTTTTTTAATTGTATAGAAGAAAAGCTAAATATAGACAGATAAGAAGAATACAGAAAGGAAGATTTAATGTATTTTAGAGAAGTTTTTACCATATTTATATTTAATTTTATGTAACTTGCAGAGCAGCTACTGGATTTGCAAAAGTAAAAAACAAGTTGTTGGCCGGGCGCGGTGGCTCAAGCCTGTAATCCCAGCACTTTGGGAGGCCGAGACGGGCGGATCACGAGGTCAGGAGATCGAGACCATCCTGGCTAACACGGTGAAACCCTGTCTCTACTAAAAAATACAAAAAACTAGCCAGGC